TAGGGGGTGGGAAGATGGTTCAGTTGGCAAAATGTTTGATGCACAAACATGAAGTTCTGAGTTTGAATCCCTACTATCCTATAATAACCTAAGTGTAGGGCCATATGCCTATAACCCCAGAAATGGAGAGTCAGAGACCGGCAGACCCTTGGGAATAAATTGTCAGCCAGTCCAGACAAACCAGTGAGCTTCAGATAAAGGAATCTGTGTCAAAAAATAAGGAGGAAATAGACTGGGAAAGACACCCAATATCAACTTCAGTCTACCATACACAGGTGCATACAAACAAACACACACACATGCCAAACATTTTCACATGTAACACAGAGAGATTATATTCAATTAATAGTTAAGTTTCCTGTGACTGAAAACATCACTCACATGTCTGAAATCAGAGCACTCTTCTGCTATTTTTATTGTTGGTGTAGTTTACTCAAATCTTTGTTTCATCATTTTTCTCATTAATGATTCAAATAGATGGTACTTTCATGTTAGTATTTGGCATATGTCACACAAATTGTCTTAGCCACTGCCAGTCTAGTCTTCTCTCTTCATTCTGTCTAGGGAGTTCCATTGACGTCAGTAGAAATCTTTGATATGAAATAAAAATATTTAAACAGAATAAGTATAAAGGGCTTCTGTATTTGGTGTTTATAGCATGTTATAGATATATGTGCAAGGCTCTGTGCAAATTGGTCTACTTAAATAAAATGTGGGCTTTCACTTGCACAAACATAGCTACTTATAAGATGAATTAAGTATGGTTAAGGGAAAAAAAAAACTTGCAGTAGCTTATAAGTACCTTGAGTTTTTCTTTTCCAGAATATCACCTCTAGCCATGGAAATATTTATTTTTCTCATGAAACTGCATTTAAATATTTGTTTTAAAGTGCCCAAAGTTTCCCACCTAATGATACACTGAAGTGTTTATAATGATAATCTATAATTAAGATGCCAAAATCGACTCAATTACTGGAACTTTGGTTTTTAGCCAAAATATTTTATGATGAAAGGAATACTGGCTAGCAGGAGTTTCTCTTGCATTAATGTCAGAGATAACTGTAACATTCAGAGATAAATTACGACTTCCCAATGTTGTTCACTGAAGTAGTGATACGAGGACAAGTGCCCAGTTTTATTTCACTTGGTCCTAGAAGATGAACACAGGGTTTCACACAGTAAGCAATTGAGCAACTGCTGAGCTATTCTCCAAGCACAGAGGCAGAATTTTGAAGTGGTAGGAATCTGTCATTGATGGAAATTAAAACCTGCAACTACTGTCAAGGATTTAGGCACATTGCATGTTGTCAAATAGGTTCATACTTTTTAGTGACTTGGTTAGGACTTTGATAAAATCTTAGCAAACTCATGGTTTGTGAACAAGGATAGCAAAGGCAGCCTCATTTTACAAAGCGTGTTCTCAGAATTTAGTCAGCGTTCTCATTTTCAGTGTTCTTAAAAATAAAACTTAGATGTGATTATATAACTTACAGGACCACTAGGATGATTAGTAGGTAACACAACTGAAGGTCAATGCACTAATATATACTATGTGTGTTAACGAACTGTACTTAGTCACATTTACAGATATGGGCATAAAAAAGTCACACATCTCTCTGAAAAATAATCAGAAAATGTCAAAACATCCTCTGGCAACACATTTTGAGTATAATTTTTGTCTCCACTATCTGCCTTTTCCAGGAAAAGTTCTTTTTCCTTTAAATAAAATACCCAGATGATTGTCCCCATCCCCATCAGTAAAATACACTTGGAATTAGCAAAAGTGAATGTCTAGAGTCCATCAAGTAGGGGAAGAGTAACAAGAAATGTTGGTAGCTACACTGTTTCACATGTGGCAACCACAATTACATTTCATACCCCAGATTGTTTGCTTTCTTTGCCTGCCCCAAATGGATTCCACGGTAGCTGGGAACTTGCAAAATTATTGCCAGTTATAACCAGAGGAAAAAATATATTGAGTTTAACTTCATTACAGTCTCAGCACTTGTATCAACAGGACCTGGCATAAAATGGGAACATTGCCGAAACCCATGAACTGACATTAGTGTTTAGAGTTGGTGGCAGAGACGGTAGGTCCTTCTGATTCCAGCTCTTCTACTGAGCCAGTGTCTGTGAACCTTCTCATTCAAATGAGCTAGAGACTGAGAGAAAAGCTGGTGTGGACCACCGACAACGACATGAATGCTACACATTTAGGTGGGAAGATGCCAGCCTAGGGAAGTCAGAGACAGAAAGAAGGGGCATGAAGTGATGTGAGTTCAGGAAGACAGGCAAGGTCCAGATCGGACAGATTCCAAGGGAACTCTACTAATCAAACTAAGTGATGACTTTAGTTCCAGGATCTTTATTTGTGCAGCATTTATTGGATGTTTAACACAGGAAATCATTACAATTGCTGTTTACATAGGCTGAGGTAGGGCCCCTCACCTTCCATATAATTGACATTTTATTCCAGAGAGCTGGTTCTTTATTGGGAACGATTGCGACCACACTGGCATGAGTGAAAATATTCTAAAAAGAGATACTTAATTCTCTCTTTGTCTATCAGACTATTGAAACTAAAACCACCACAGAGTTGTTATTTTCCCAAGAGTTTCATGCAGGGAGGAGGAAAAAGATGAAGCCTCAGGCCAACCAGAGGAGAGCTAGGCTCCCTTGAAGAATTTGCACAGTTAAGACAGTTTATTGGGATATGTTCCATGAGAGATCGGAATTGAGACAACGATAGTTCAATGATGGGTAAAACACACCTTGACAGAGACTCCTTAATTATACATATTGTTTTAACACCTGAATTTCATGTTTGTATCCTGAGGATGCACCGGGGGTCAGTGGTCCTCCTTATATGTTCTTTTTCCCAGAGTGGCCACATTGAATAGGTCTCTGTTTTCCATTACACTTGTCTCCTTGATTAGTGTGTTGAGACAGGTGGCCAGAACGAGGTTGTGAGGACTGCCAGGGCCTAGGCTTGTACCTTAAAAACTCCAGTAACAAGCTGAGGGCGTGCCCTGTGCATTGTGGGATGTGCAGCTATTTTCCTCGCTATTACCTACTACATGCCTGCTTTCTTCTCCCTCCTCAGCTGTGACAAAGAAACAAATAAAAAATGTCTTTAGAAATGACCGGGAAACCACTAGGCTGTAGGGTAAGAAACTTCTTGCTGGGGACTAGAGTCTTAGGCAGTTTAGAAAGGGCTGTCTTGGCAGCTGTCCACTGTTGCTTTGATCAGTCTTGGGCCTGTACTGTATCTTAAATCTCACCTGAGGGCAGTGGTGGCACATACCTTTAATCTTAGCACTCAGGAGGCAGAGGCAGATGGATCTCAGTGCGTTCCAGGACAGCCTGGTCTACAAAGCAAGTTCTAGGACAGCCAGGACTGTTACACAGAGAAATCCTGTCTCAAAAAACAAACAAGCAAACAAACAAACAACAACAAAACCCAGAAAACCAACCAAACAAAGAGCAAAACAAAACAAACAAAAACTCATCTGATAGAACCAATAACTCCTTTTATTCTGGGATCTCCAATAGTGACTCATAAAATCCACCAGATAACTGGGTATACCATGGAGAGGCTGTCCATTTCTTTTTTTAATTAATTAAATTTATTCATTTATTTTACATCCCAAACTTTTTCTCTTTCCTCCTCTCCTCCCTTTACCTCCCCCACCTCCCCTCTGCCCACCCTTCCTCCAAATTCACTCTTCCCCTGTTTCTGTTCAGAAAGGGGCAGGCCTCCCATGGGTGTCAGCAAAGTATGGCATGTCAAGTTAAGGTAGGACTAAGCTCCTCCCCTCATATTAAGACTTGATAAGGCAACCTAGTATGAGGAATAAATTCCCAAAAGGCAGCCAAAGCATTAGGGACAGCCCCTTCTCCCACTGCTGTAAGTCCCACAAATAGGCCAAGCTATACAATACTGTCGTACCTGTAGAGAGGGCCTAGGTCAGTCCCATGTGGTCTCCTTTGCTGTCAGTCCAGTGTCTATGAGCTCCTATGAGCCCAGGAGCTCCAGGAATCCTGTTGAAGAGAGAGCCAAGGTTGTCCCTTTCTGTAGCTAAACTTGCACTGGGGAAATTTCTTAACTAGGTTCTTGATCTATTGTTTGTCCGACCAGACGAAAGTAGCACATTGGAAATAAGTAGAGACCACTTAGTGCTAACTTTGTGTGAAGCAATGGTTCCAGGACGTGAGAAGTCACGAGTGCAATTAAAAATGAGTAAAGAAAACAAGCAAATCTAGAAGACTATAGTGGCTGTACTCACAATATAAAGATAGCCTACTGAGCAGAAACCACACATCAGGGAACAAAGAGAAAACATCTTAGAAATCCTGCGAATCTCAAGAAGGGGACAGAGAAGTCCGTCCAAACATCTCCCTAGCTTTATTCTCTTGATCTTGACAGAGAAATCCCTGAAGGAAATACTTAATTCAGAACTTTCGACTTCTTGAATATACCCTCATCCATTGTTGACATCTCCAAACATGATCAGCAAGCAGCTCCCTCAAAGTCACTATCACTGTGCACAAAGATCTGGTGTCAGTTCCATAGTGGAAGAGAAACCTGAGCCTAGTGTGATGGACTTGCAGAATAGTTTACACAAGCAGCCCCCCTTCAAGGCTAACCACATCTGACATGTAAGGTAAACACGGTTTGCAGTCCTGTTTGTTGCAACAAGCAGGACTGCAAGCTGAGAAGAGAGTCTGTGCTCTGGGATCTTGGAAGTACAACTCTGCCTGGTGATTAATAGAGAAACTGAATTGCCATGCTCCACCCCCCTCTGAGAATGGGGTCTGTCCAAAGAATTCATGACAAAAAGTTGTAAAACAGAACATTAAAACAAGCACAGGGCTAAAATATACCTCCGGGGGTGGGGAAGGGGACTGTGGGGAGGTGGGTTCGTTTGTTTTTATTTGTGGCTTTTATGCCATAGAATGACTTTTGCTTTCACCTTCTGAACTGATGCTTGAGAAGAAACATGGGCCATGAAACAGCAGTGGACCTTACCAGGCAGGATCAGGAGATGTTTTCTGGAATCGCACAGTTTCCCAAAAGACTCCCCAAACTCCCCAAGGTTGTTGTTATTAAAAGTAGGTTGCCAGCTGATGAGAGCTCCCAGGTTAGCAACCTTGAAAAACTGTAGTTTCACAGCAGGGAAGATCTAGCCAGGACACCCTCCAGTGCAAAGATCACCATCCCCCTTCCTCTTAGGTGCTGCCTCCAGCTGAGCCTGGTTTCTGGCAGTGGGCTCCAACCTTGATTGGCTGGATCCTAGGGAAAGGGAAATTTATTCTAGCTCTATGACACTTTCATGCTAGACCCCTGTGTCTATAAAACAACCACTGCTTTCCAGTGACCCTTAAGGTGTCTAATGATCAGCAGGAAAAAAATTTTCTTGAGCATGGAGAAATTAGCAAAATGGCAGTTTGTGACGTTGATGGAAACTTTCAGATGGCAGATTTCCTAAGGAGACCAAGGGTTCTCCATCTAATGATTTCTGATCTAGTTAACATAGGCTAAAGTACCAAATGCGATATATCCTTGCTAGTCAATTATAGTTCTTTGGAAAACTACTTCTTAATCTTTTCTTCCAAACAATTTATGTCATATTTCCTTCAAAATCTTCCAGAAACACTTTTATTTAGGTAATAAACCTATTATTTGCCTTTCTGTAAATGAGAAATTCTTACACCTGTATTATTTCCTGGTATGTGTGTTTGCGGTATGCATTTGCATACATGCATATTTTCATTGTGGGTGCATGTGAGCATGCAGGCAAGTAGAGGCCGGAAGTTGACATTGAGTGTCTTCCTTGATTACTCTCTACTTTATATAATGGGGTGTGGTCTCTCACAGGGACCAAGCGCTTACCAATTCGGTTATCCAACTTGCTCCTTGTATCCCTTGCCTCTGCCTTTCAAGGCTGATTCCAGGTGGCCACCACACCTACTAGGCATGTACATAATGGCTACATGGTCCCTGATTTAGATGCAGGAATTGTGTTGTAGTTATGTCCATTGGGCCTGGGCTTCCTATGCTCTGTTGATCTCTGCATTGTGTCCAGTTGTATTTTTCTGTGTTGCTTTCTATTTGCTGTAAAGAGAGGCCTCTTTTTGTTATATTTTCTTATTTTGAAGTAATAATATAATTACATACTTTCTCTCTTTAATTTCCTCCTTTAAAATCCTCCCATGTACTTCTTGCTCATTTTCAAATTAATGGCATCTATTTCCATTCATTAATTGCTATTACATTCTCATGCATGCACACACACACACACATACACACACAGAGAGAGAGAGAGAGAGAGAGAGAGAGGAGACAGAGACAGAGACAGAGATTATGGGTGTGTATTTCTAATTATATAAGTACAATCTGTTTAGTTTGCATAATGTTACTTATACTTTATGTTTTCAGGACTGACCATTTGAATTTTGTGTGTATAATGGCATGGTGTCTTCAGCAGAAAGGGAGTTACCTTCCACCTCTGTGGGACAGGGGTGGGGGGGCAAAGACTACTAATGGCAATAGCATTAGTCTGTAATATTTTGGGATGCCACTGGACAACACTGAGCAGCAACTCAAGATAGGGTTTAGAAACAGGTTCTTTGTTTTTTTGTTTGTTTTGGATGAGGGTAGTGGCTACACTTACACGTGGAAATGTATGTAAGGCCAAGATTTAGAATGTAATAAGAAATCATGTTTGTCTAACAAAGTAGCAGTAATAAATTATTTTCAAGGAGCATGGCTTTACTAACCCTGGAAATTTGGCTAAGCATGAATTCCCTCCTGTTGAGTAGGACTTTAGTCCAATTAGACAGCTGTTGATTGCTATCAACATGTGAGTGACACTTTTTGCACCTTTATGCCTATCTTGCCATGCTATTAATTGTCGTGCTTCATAGGTGTTGTGGCTGGATGGGACTATTTAATTGCTTCCTTCCCTTGGCAGCTTGAACTGGGGACGCTAGACTGTAGAAAACAAGCATTCTGGTCAGAGTCATCTCCAGCCATGTAAGTTGTGTGTCCTATGTGGCTTCAGCCACAGGGTCCTACCATCAACCTTGGAGAAGCAACCAAGGGCAACATCATTAAACTACATTGTTTGGGGAATCACTTGGACTACTCTAATAAACCCTTGAAAGGAGATTTCTCATGTCTGGTACTTGGGTTCTTTGTTACTCTATGGTTCTTGCGGCAACCACTGGAGGCAAATATTGATTTTATTTGATTTGATGCACTTTATTATTATACCTTAGATGCCCGTTTGTTTTCTAAGGAGAGATAGCAAGGGGGTGGATCTGGACAGAAGAGGAGGTGGGGAGAACTGGGAGGAATAGAGGGAGTGATATCATAATCAGGATATATTATATGAAAAAAATCTATTTTTAATAAAAGAAAATAAATTTTAAAAACTTAACCTACAAGATTGAATGATTCTGCTCTGCTCTGTAGAGTAGCTCCAGGCCCTCAACCTTTGTCCTATTTCCCATGGATTCCACAGATGTTCCCCATTCTAACCTTCCTCCCCCTATGACCCCAACCCAAGTAGATATTCCCTGCTAAACCAGGGGTCTCTCCTCCCCGGGAAACAAGTAGACTGAATGAGGACCCATGCCTCTCTTATTGCTCCTTAGATCCAACCACCCCAGTTCTACCCAAGCTCTGTAGCAGGAATTCTGCGTTGGTCTTTCCTATCTAACCCCATCCCCAAGGGATCTCAAAAATCTCCCCTCCAAACTTTCTTCCCCAGACTCATCCATGTATCTCAGCCTCCTTCCCCAGCATTCACTCCCTCATTCCCTATGAACACAACTAGTTGAGAAGACCAAGAAAACAGGCAACGCAGAAACCAAAGGACAAAACATCCACCTCACAAAGACAAATTCAGAAATCAGCACCTAGACCTATCATTATCCCAAATCCAGATGCCTAGAAGCCAGCATAAAAACACAGTAACAGACAGGGCAATATGTTTCCACTGGAGCCCAGCTATCCTACTACAAGAGGCCCTGAATATTCCATTATGGCTGAAGCACAAGAAAAAAGATCTTAAAGAGAAAATTAATAAATCCCTTAAAGAAATATAGGAAAATTTCCAGCAAACAATAAGAGGAAATACCTAAAGAAACCCAGGGAATCACAAACAAAAAAATGGAGGAAATGAATAAAACCTTTTTAAGAAATCTATGAAAGGGCGACACTGTGATGGTTCTTGAGCATGTGGGCAGATGAGAGCTGCAGGCTCTGAGCAGCTTAGAAAACAGTCTTGACTTCGTCTGCACTGTCTGCCTGGGAGAAGGTGGTCAATGTCTTGAGAGGAGTGCTTATAGAATGTGATCCTGCCATGAAGCAGTTCTTGCTGTACTTGGATGAGTCCAATGCCTTGGGGAAGAAGTTCATCATTCAAGACATTGATGACACACATGTGTTTGTCATTGCGAAGCTGGTCAATGTCCTCCAGGAGCGAGTAAGGGAACTGATGGACCAGAATGCCTTTTCTCTTACCCAGAAGTGAAAATACTAGCTGCTGAGCACATAGGAATTACAAACCACAGACATGAGAGAGGCCCCATTCAGAGTCTCCTACAGTGTGTAGACATTTCATGAGCATTTTGTGGGGAAGGCTGCAGGGCCATTGATTCAGACAAAAGCCCCAACTGATTTTTTTTTAAGAAGAACTAACAATTGGCTGCAGTTTGGCTTTTATTATTCCTTTTTAAAACAATCATAATTGTGCTGGTTCGATGGCTCAGTTGTTAAAGGCCCTTGCCATCAATCTGACAGCCTGAATTTGATCCCAGGGAAGGGAAGAGCTCCCACAGTTGTCTCCTGACTTCCCTGTGTGTACCTCCCTTCCGCACAAATAAGTAAATCTAATTAAATATAATCATAAATGGCTCCCCTACCTTTTTTAACACCAATTAAATACACCAGAAAAATAATGGAGTATGGGAAAAAAGAAATCCCAGAAAATGAACCAAGCAGTTGAAGGAAACAAAACTGTTAAAGACATGAAAACGGAAATAGAGTCAATAAAGCAAACACAAATAGAAATTCTGGAAATGAAACATTTACAAATTTGAAAAGGAGCTTTGATAAGTTAGGAGAAATGAATACACAGGTCAAAGAAAATGTTAAATCTACAAAACTTCCTGACACAAAACACCCAGGAAATCTGGGACACTTGGAAAAGTCCAAATCCAAGAATAATAGGAATAGAGGAAGGAGAAGAATCCCAATTCAGTGGCCCAGAAAATATTAACAAAATCATAGAAGAAAATTTTCCTAACCTAAAGAAAGAGCTGCCAATGAAAGTACAGGAAGCTCACAGAACACCAAATAGATTAGACCAGAAAAGAAAGTTCCCTCATCACATAATAAGCCAAACACTAAACATAAAAGACAAAGAAAGAATACTAAAGCTACAAGTTAAACAATACAAAACAAAACAAGTAATATATAAAAGTAGACATGTTAGAATTACCCTTGACTTTTCAATGAAATCTCTAAAAGACAGCAGGACCTGGAGAGATATGCTGCAGACTCTAAGAGACCACAGGTCTCAGACAAGACTAGTATACCCAGAAAAACTTTCATTCACCATAGATACAGAAAATAAGATATTCCATGATAAAGTCAAATTCAAACCATATCTATCTGTATATCCAGCCCCACATAAAGTGCAAAAAGGAAAACGCCAACCTAAGAAGGTTAAATATTTTCATGAAAAATAAAGAAGTAAAGAATCTTATACCAGAAAAATCAAAAGAAGGGAACACACATACACAACCATCACCTCCACCACCACCAACAAAATAACAGGAATTAGCAATCATTGGTCATTAATATCTCTCAAAATTAATGAACTCAATTCCCCAATAAAAAGACACAGGCTAACAGAATGTAAACAAAAACTGGATCCTTCCTTCTGCTGCATACAAAAACAAACAAACAAACAAAAACCCGAAACTAAAGGGTTGAAAAAGATAATTTAAGAAAATGAACACAAGAAGCAAGCTAGTATAGCCATTTAAATATCCAACAAAATAGACTTTAACCCAAACTAATCAAAAGAGATAGGGAAGAGGCCTACATACTCATCAAAAGAAAAAAAATCACTAACATGACATTTCAATTCTTACCATCTATACTCCAAACACAAGGGCACTCAAGCTTGTAAAAGAAACACTTCTGCAGCTTAAATCACATAATGACCCCCACATATTGATAGTGGGAGACTTCAGTACCCTCCTATCACCATTCCACTGGTCATACAGACAAAATCTAAGCAGAGAAATACTGAAGCTAACAGATCTTATAAACCAAATGTACCAAACAGGTATTTATAGAACATTTTAACCCCCCAATACAGACAATATACATTCTTCTCCGCACCTCATAGAACTTTATCCAAAAATTGTTCATGCTCTCAGACATAAAGCAAGTCCCAACAGATACAATAAAGTTGAAATAACTTCCTGCATCCCATTAACTATGGATTAAGCTTGATATCAACATCAGAAAGCTTACAAACTCATCACAACTGATAATGACCTGAATAAAAAATGGGTAAAAACAGAAATAAAAAATTAAAGACTTTTTAGAATTCTATGTAAATGAATATACTGCACACCCAAACTTATGGGGCACAATGGAAGTGGTATTAATAGGATAGTTCATAGCACAAAAATGAAAAAGTGGAGACAACTCACACTAGCAACTGAGCAGCACACCTGAAAGTTTTAGAAAAAAAAGTAATCATACCCTAGATGAGTAGACAGCAAGAAATAAGCTGAGGGCTAAAATCAATAAAATACTAACAAAAAGAACAATACAAAGAATCATTGAAACCAGTTGGTTCTTTGAGAAAGTCAGCAAGATAGACAGATCCTTGTTCAAAGTAACTAAATGACGCAAAGAGAATATCCAAAATAAGCAAAAATCAGAAATGGAAAATGGGACATAGCAACAGACTCTGAGGAAATTGAGAGAATCATAAGGACATATTTTAAAAATCTGTACTCCACCAACTTGGAAAATCTGAATTAAAAGACTCCTAGGTAAAACCAGTACTGGACCAGTTGATTTAGGTGCAGAATTCTTACAGATTTTCCAAAAGTGCTAAATGCCAATATTCCTGAAATTATCCCACAAAATAGAAACTGAAGTTACATTGCCCAATTTATTGTCATGAGGCAACAGTTATTCTGATGACCAAACCACACAAAGAGTCAACAAACAAAATTACAGAGCAGTTTTCCTTGTAAACATAGATGCAAAAAATTCAATAAAATACTTGTAAACTGAATCAAAGATCATAAATTATACATCAAGAGGGTTTCATTCCAGAAATGCACGTATAGTTCAATATACAAAAATCAGAAAGTGTAATCTGCCACATAAGCAAACTGCAAGAAAAAGAAACACATGGTCATCTCATTAAAGACAGAAAAGGCCTTTGACAAATTCCAATGCTCTTGCATGATAAAAAATCCCTGGAGAAATTAGGGATACAAAGGACATACCTCAACATAGTAAAGAAAAATTCAATGAAGAGAAACTCAAAATAATTTCACTATAGTCAGGAAAAAGACAAGGTTCTCTATTCTGTCCATACCTATTCAATGTAGTACTTGAAGTTTTAGCTAAAGCAATATGGTCACTGAAGAAGATCAAGGGGATACAAATCAGAAATGAAGAAGTCACAGTATTGCTATCTGCAGATGACATAATAGTCTTCATGAGGGGACCTTAAATATTCCACCTGTGTTTTCCTATAGCTGATAAACACTTTTCAGCAAAGGCTGGATACAAGATTAACTCAAAAAAATCAGTTGCCCTCCAATCTACAAATGACAACCGTCTTTAACAAAATTAGGGGAACAATCCCTTTCACAATAGCCTCAAATAATACAAAATATCTTGGGATGACTAACTAAGCAAGTGAAAGACTTGGGTAATAAGAAATTCAAGTCTTTGAAGACAGAAATTAAAGAACATATCAGAAGATGGGAAGGTTTCTCATGCTCATGGATTGACAGTGAAAATGGCCATCTTACCAAAAGCAATCTACATATTCAATGCAATCCCCATTAAAATCCAAACACAATTCTTTATATACCTTGCAAGGAAAATTCTCAACTTTACATGGTTAAAAGCAAAATATAACAACAACAAAAAACCCATGAGGATAACTGAAAAATTCTGCCAGGTGGTGGTAGTGAAAATATTTAATCCCAGCACTGCAGAGGGATGCAGAGGCAGGAGGATCTTTGAGTTCTAGGTCAGCCTGAACTACAGAATTAGTTGAAGAATAGCCAGAAATATACAGGGAAACACCGTATTGAAGAACAAACAAACAAACAAAATTTCCTGAATGATGAAAGAACTGCTGAAGGTCTCACCATTCCATATTTCAAGTTGTACTATAGATCTATAGTAATAAGAACCAAGTGGAACTTGCATAAAAAACATACATTGATCAATAGAATCTCATTGAAGATCCAGACATAAATCCATACACATATGGAGACCTGGTTTTTATTTTTTAAAAGCAGTAAGAAACACACACTGAAAAAACATTATCTTTAACAAATTGTGCTAGTCAAACTGGATGTCTTCATAGAGGAAAATGCTAATAGATCCATATTTATCCTTCTGTACAAAACAAAAATCCAAGTGGCTTAAAGATATCAACATAAAACCAGATACTCTGAAACTGATGGAAGAGAATGTGGGAAATAGCACTGAAGACATTGACAGAGAAGACAGCTTCCTGACCAGAACCCTGATAGTGCAGGCACTAAGATCAACAATCAGTAAGTAGGACCTCAAGAAACTGAAAGTTTCTATATGGCAAAGGACACTGTCAATCTGACAACGAGGCAATCTGCAGAGTGGGAAACAATTTTTACCAACTCTTCTTCTGATAATGGACTAATATCCCAAATACGGAAAGAACTCAAGAAACTAGATATCAAAAAAATCAAACAAACAAACAAAACCAAATGATCCAATTAAAAACTGGATACAGATCTAAATAGAAAATTCTCAATAGCAGAATCTCAAATGGTTGACAAACACTTAAAGAAATGTTCAACATCCTTAGCCACCTTGGAAAAGTATACTAAAACTACTTTGAAATTCCACCTCACACCTGTCAGAATGGCTAGGGTCAATAACCTAAGTGACAACTCATGCAGTTGAGGATATGGAGCAAGGGTAACATGTCTCCATTGCTGGTGAGAGTGCAAATTTGTACAGCTACGATGGAAATCAATGTGGCAGCTCCTCAGAAAATTGGGAATAGATCTACTTCAAGATCTAACTTTACCAAGCTTGAGCATTTACACAAAATAAATGTGTACTACCCTACCAAAAGAACACTTGTTCAACCATATTCATCATGGCTTTATTCAAAATAGCCAGGAACTGGAGACAATCTATATGTTCCTAAACAGAGAAGTGGATAAAGAAAATGTGTTATGCTTACAAAATGGAGAATTACTTAGCTGTTTAAAAAATGGCATCATGAAATTTGCAGGGAAATAGATGTAAACAAAAAATCTTCTTAAGTTAGGCAACTCAGACCCAGAAAATAAATATGGTATGTATTCATTTATAAATGGATATTAGCCACTAAGTATATGATAACCATGGTGCAATCTCTATA